GGAGGGACAGCACAGGAGGGGAAGACCCTCCATGAGATGGATTGATTCGGTGACTGGGGTAATCGGGATCGGTATGTCAGAGGCGGTGCGGTTGGCGCAGGATAGAGCAGGGTTTAGGGCTGCTGTGCATAGGGTCGCTATAAGTCGCAAACGACTCGGCGGCACATAACAACAAACAAACAACAAGACATGCAGTCACCACTCTCTCCATCTTACAGTGTCCATTTCCTAAACAAAACAGTTACATTACCTTCTCTAGGTCTTGCTGAGAAGCCTGCAAAAGCGTTTGGCCAGAAGCAATCCAGTGCTTGCCAGAATTCAGGTAGGACCCCAAGCCCTGTTCTACCAGCCAACTGCAAACCTGCTCCTTGGTCCATTTGGCAAAAGGCATATCCAAGTCACTACAGGAGAATGAAAAATTATATTAAAAAAAAAAACAAAACCCAAAACAATCCAAAGGCAATTCTGTTGTTTACCAAATCTCTCATTATCACTCAATGGTTATAGAAATCCCCCAGAGATACACATTTGACCAAGAAAAGCTTCTAAGTGTATATGTATTTGGAGGAGCCAGAAGTACTAGAACTGCAAGTTACCTTCTAAAATCACTTTGTTTCAAACAAAACCACAAAAACTCAATGTGATCTCTAGAAAAAAAAATGTCAAGTTGAACCAATACAGGTCATTATCCTAGTTTTAACCCATATTTTCCTCAAGATCGGTCTTTCAAATAGGAAAAAAGACTATGATTTAATGGAATAAACTTTATTTACTAAAATAATGGTTTCTCTTCAGGCGGCAATCAGTAAAAAGACCAATAAGATCATAATCAATTCTACAACTAGGAGAGAATAAAATAGATGAATGAAACCTTCTAAGAATCAAGTCCCTATGCTCATCAAAAAGCTTCTCCAACAGGGTAAGAAGGGAACGCACAGACTGGGGGGAAAAATATTTGATAATCACATATCTGATAAGGGACTTATATCTATAATGTATAGACTACGCCAGCACCTCAACAAGAAAAAGGTAAACAACACAATCAGAAAATGGGTACAGGAGATGACAAACACACATGAAGAAATGTTCAAAATCACTAGCTATGAGGGAGATGCAGATTAAAACAACTCTAAGATAGCATCTCACCCTAGCAACAATACCAAAGTTCAACAGGGCAACAAACAACAAATGCTGGTGAGGCTGGGGAGAGATTGGCACTCTTATCCAGTGCTAGTAGAAATGTAAAATGGTACAGCCACTATAGAAGGTGTTCTGGCACTTTTTTAAAAAGTTGGAAATAGAAATGCCATTTGACCCAGCAATTCCACCACTGGGAATATGCCCTAAAGAAACCCAAGCAGATACACGCACACCCATGTTTATTGCTGTGTTGTTCACAATAGCAAAGAGATGGAAGCAACCCAAGTGCCCATCAACAATGAACGGATAGAGAAGCTCTGGTATATTCACACAATAGAATACTACGCAAAGCTGAAAAAACAAGGAACTCATAAAAATATTACTCAAAATGGGTGACCCTGGAGGACATTAGGCTAGTGAAATATCCCATCACAAAAGGACAAATACTGCATAACACCACTATTATTAGATCAAATGAGAGGAAGAACTATCCAAAAGGAATATATGATTATACATTATATGTATGACGACAATGTGGAACAAGGGGTGCACTGCAGGGAGGGTTAGGAAAGGGGAGAGACATGGGGGGAAGAAAATGTGCAGCAATGAAAAAAAGTAAAACATTTTTGATATGAAAAAAATTAATAGATATACTAATAAATTGCCACCCCAAAAGCGTGGACCAGTTCTTACAAAAAGAATGGAAAGGTGAAAAAAAGATTGCAACCAATAAGAACAGTATGCCTTCGCTTACTGTTTCCTGGGCTCAGAAAAGGACAAACAAAACAAAGGTCTCTTTTCTTTTACTTGGACAAATGAATAAGGTGCATGGGGTTTTTCTGGGTTGGAGTGAGTAGAGATGGAAGGATCGCCCTCCTCTCTTTAATACCTTAAGAAGTTCCTCTACAAAAAAAGTGTACAGAGAGAACAGATGGCAGATGAGACCTAGTGGTATCTGAAGGGCAAAGAGAGCTTCCTCTTTGAAAATTGTATTCCATGTTCCACCCTAAGTGGGAAGGACTGTGTTTAAAGGCTTTTTTTTTTTTTTAAAATTCATTATCCTCTTGAAAAGATTTGGTATCAATACCTTGGGCTATGTTTACCAGCCTCACCCCTTAATGCTCAGTAAGTCATCACAGTAACTAGGCCTAGTGGTAAGAAGTTAAGAAGTTGTACTGCCATCCCAAAGGCGCTGCTTTGAACCTCATGGGGTGTGACTAATCTAGAGTAAGCACTAATTATTATAATGAGAAAACTGAGCTGCGGATCATTGAAGCAGTTACTCAGGGTTAATTAGACTGCATGGCAGTAAAGGAAATACAAGCAATCTGATTCAAGGACTCAAAATCTTAACTATTACAGTGTCCCATTTTAATTTCTCCGGTGCAAAGTTTTAGAAAACTTTTAATTATTTCTCACCTAAATTTAAGTCCAACAATTTTCCAATACTGCTGAGCCTTTATTTCTGGTTCCCCTCAACTGCACATAGCTCTCACCTTTCAGAGAGCTCTTGATCAACTACTGCCAAATTGCACCCCTTTAAAGATGATGTCCCTCTGATTGGCTACAGCATTAAGCAATGACTTTGACTTAAAAGAGATCCTGATATTTTGTTAGTTCTGACTGTTCTTACCTGTTTGATTGTCCCAAATCTCGAGACCAACCCAAGCGAGGTCCTGCAGTTGCCCGTGTCCCTCCTCTTTTAAATTCAGGCTCAGACATGTCATCTGGGTTGAATGTGGTTGACTGACTTCTTCTAAGTCTGAATAGAAGACATGATGTATATTTCCACAGATTCTATCTGAATTTATTTAGACTTTAACATTAAGCATAACAATTTACATTGATAGATAACTTATAGCTAGCTATTCCTCTATGTATGCCATGTATTTAAAAGCTCAAAACTCACTGCCATGAAGTCAGAATTGACTCTTAGCAGACCCTTGAGTGGGTTTTCAGAAGCAGCTAACTGCCTGGTAGAGACTGTCTATCTTTCTTCCAAGAAGTCACTGCCAGACAGGCGCCACTTTCAGGGTAGCTGCTTAACTTCTCTACCACCTATACTTGCCACAGATGTAGATATTTCTATTTCAATAAAAATCTAATGAGTTAATGTATCCTAGGCCACAGTCTTCTTTGCAGAAGTACATAAAAGATTTATATTTTTGTGTCCATTTTCAGTACATTTTCTATTTATCCCCTTTATACATTTAAGCAAGATATATACAAAGACCACTTACTTTCCAAAGAGCTTCATGATCCCTCTGGGTTTCTTTCTGGTATCTGGAGATGGTGGTAGTATCTGGAAGGGGCTACTGCCTTGTGAATCTTTAGGCCGAGAAGACATGCCAGCCAGATCCAGGTGCTCCGATGCCTCCTTTTCTGTTTCAGCTATTCCAAGAACAGATCAAAGCCTTAAGCCACTTCAAATATGAAATGAACATGCTTGAGAGTAAGCTGTGTGATCCTAGCGACTCTGAAGCATTCTTGTTCTGTTGCTCTCTAATAAATCAGTGATTGACAAAATGCAACCAACATATTTTCTAACCTAATCTATCCTACTGCGTATAGAGTTGATTAAATTACAAGCAAAATCCCACTTTGAGAAGATAAATCAAAAGTATGCCAGGATTGCTGTATTCTTTCCTTGGGCGATTGGAGTGCACAGTGAAACTGTTCGCAGTCTTGCTGTAGCACTTGGTAGTAACGACTGTCACCTGATGTTGCTGTGGAGTTAAACAGCTGATTGTTAGGTTCACAGTCAACAGTTCGATCATTCTGCCACCAGGGCTTCTTGACTATCCTGTGTCTGTTGAAAACATGGTATTTTTTTTTAACTACCATATCATGACACTGCCCTAGGACTCTCACGATAGTTTCTTCTTTGCGGGAATACATTCATCTTTTCTTTCTCCTCCCCTCCATTCCAAGTTCCTTCCAAGATTCAGATCTACGGTCTCTCCAGAGGATCTCTTGACAAGCTCACCCCCTTGAAACTCATCACGAAGCGATGGATTTACTAATTTATAAGCATGTGGCATCAAACTGTTTGGGTCTAACATTACTCTGAGATTTAGTGTCTCAAGTCAAAGTGATATGTACATCCTGAACTAAAAAAAAAAAAAATATCCATCCAACTTCCCTAGAAGTCTTGACTCTCAACTCTTAAATGTAATAGTTCATTAATATTTTATTCAACATTTAATAATATTAGTATCTTCCTGTTACTCTAGATCAAATCCTTGTTATTTTCCTTTTCAATCCTTTCCTTTCTTTGATTTACCTCAAACTGGTTACCAATTTATGGCAATTTTTATTCAAGATATGTAAGTCTTCATCTTAGTTACTGAGAACAGAACAAACTAGATAGGGATTCAGTTTTCCTTTTGATAAAAAATTAGCGTCTAATGGTTTTAGAAGAATAACGTCTACGTTTTGCTGTTTCCAAACCCCTAAGCACTGCCAGTTTTTGTTCTTTCAGTTGACCTATTGAATGATCCCAAACCAGCAAAAAGAAATGTGCCTTCTCAATAGAGCACTTTACATTTTATCAAGGAAAGGGGAAACTGTACACAAAAAAAATAAAATCAAAGGAACAGTGTTTCAGCAAGATAAAAAAGTTGCAGAGGCTGACTTTTCTATAAAGCAGAGCTGTGATTATAGGTTATAGGAAGCAGCATTTGTCTCTTAGCACTGATGATATGGTTCTTCTAAGATGCAAAAACATTTAGAAACTGTCGTCTCTGAATCTGTTTATTTTGTTCATCTCATGCTAACTTTAGATATTTAAGACTATGAAGAGGGAGAGATCACCTTTGCTGATGTAGGTGGTTAAAATCCAGAGGTATGTACATGAGGCAACAGAAATTATTAGAAAAACCCAAAAGAATCTTTGCTTTCAAAATCTACAGCTATGATGGTAAGCGGATCCCTGAAAATGGTGCTGAGTCTGCCTTCCTTTTAAAGGCATTAAATCTCATTTTTCTTTGGAGGATCCTCTCCTCCCCCATTAAACTCTACTCTTTAAAACAGGATAACTGAGCTTCCTTTCTCCTAAAATTACTTGAGGACCTGAAAAGGACATTTTTCTTTCTCACTTAACTTAGTGTCAACTCCTCAGTTAACACATATACTTTCCTCTGAAATACTATCCACTAAATACTATCTCCATCTTCATAGCAACCATGTCAGAGAACATGTCCCCAAGAGAAGTCAAGCTATGAATATTCTCTTTGGTGTCTTCCACAAATCTCTACGCTTGATTCATAGTACTTCTAACTAGAGACAACAGATACATCAAAGAGGGATCTCAAGAACCCGGGAGCTGGTGTGTGGTGACATGCGCTTCAAGAGTGAAAGCTGGAATTTACAATGCCAGGGAACCGCTGCTCTGTATGCCTGTGCAGGACATGATGCATTTGCAGGACACAATGCACTTCTAGGACTTCTCAGGCCCACTTACAAGGCTTCCTGAGCATTAGTTAAAATAGTGGAAGCAAAGGCTCAACAGAAATCCTTTCAGAAGAAAGGAGAAGGAACAAATGCTGATTGGTAAAAATTGCATTTTCTGATTACTGCTAGCTCGCTTTCTAAAGACTGAGATGCTGAGAGAAAAGGTTAGCTTGGTTGGGAGCACAGCACTGGCGGAGGCTGGCATGCAGGGGTACAATACCTAAGGTAGGTGCACTGGCACTTCGTTTACGATCTTCAGATATCCCAACAACGCACACAATCACACGCAGCCCAATGGAGAGAACACAGGGGAATGACAAAATGAAACACTGATGAAATTCCTACTCACAAAATACACACAGTGGAGGAAAGGCATGCAGCACACCGTGCCGCTGATGTTAAATATGGACTTCGTTTATGCGCCAGCAAAACAGACAAGAAACTGTACAATGACATGAAGGAGAATCACCACTTCCACTCTTCCTGCTAAGCTTACACCACAGAGTAAAAGTGGGCTGTGGATCTATGTTCACAGAAGACTGCGATGCACACACTGCAAACTAACTCCATTGGAGCAGTTTTTGCTAACTTTCCCCCAGAGTCATTCACCTCCAATTCTGAGAAACAGAAATTTATAAACAAGATGGATAAGGGAAGGGAACAGATTGATGTCCTCATTCACAAGGCAATACAGAGTTAAACAAAATTAAGGCAAAGGGCATCTTAACCATACATACCCAAATTTGGTGCGCTTGCTGTCCTCTTGTTACTTTTTATTTTAAAAAAGCCCCGACCAAACGAAGATCTGGCTTTCCGAGTGCCAAAGGGGTTGTCATCCATGGAGGCATCGTGTCCCGGAGCTTTGGGAGGGAGGGTCCCTACGGTACGTTCGCCTGGAGCTTTACTCTGAGAGATAAACGAGGATGTTGACAGAAGGTGCCGATGCACAAAATCCACTGTGCCTGCAACCTCCACACTAAACATGCTACATGCATGGTTTCACTTAAAACAATCATTACACTGCTGCATGTACTAGCTATATCAAATACAGTAAAAAGAATTACAGCTCAGCTCAGAAAGTCCCTTTAAAAATATCTTCATTGCTTCATATAGTTGGCAAAGATAAATGAATGTTTAACTCTCATTTGCCTAATTCCTTAAATGATATAGGACAAGGCATTACAAACAGAACTAGAAACAAGATTTTTCTTAGTCAGATTTTTTTTTCCTAGAAATTATGACATAAATAGGCCTATAAATCACTTTGTGCTCTTTATAAAATATCCACATTAATAGAAGCTCAATGAAGGCACCACCAAACTAGTCATGAATAAAATAATTTTTGTTTCCTTGAATTGAACATGGATCTTAGACTGGAGCTTGCAGACAAGTAACCAATCACAGATTATCATTGTCAAAAACTGTGAAACATTCAAATATACTTGGCATTAAAGCATAACAGAGGAGAATTAAACTCTTTGTTGCTTCAGAAGCCACTTGAGATCTGCACAGCATTTCAAGGTCTTTACCAAGAACATTAACTGTGTTTAAGTTACGCTTCCCACACTGCTTATTTTGAGCTTTTGGATTATTTAGAATTGGCAATTATAATAACATAGAGTGTTACATTGTTTTATCATTATACAAAGATGTTTTTGTCTGCATACTCTTACAGTCTCATTTCTATGTATCTTTTCCGCTCTGTTTCATTTGGGGGGAAGTGAAGAGAAGGGCCAAGCAACTTAGGCTTTTACTGCTGTTCGTGGGAACGAAATGTTTACATGCACCACAATTGAGAAGGTCTATTATTTACATCTAAATTCTGATGCCAAAATCATTTAACCACTTAGAGAACTGGCAAGACACAAACAACAGAGGATGATTTTCATTATAGTTGTGGCTGCTGACTTTGTCAGTTACAGTCATGCCATGATTTATGCAGGAAAAATCAGTCAACAGTTTGTACCTGGAAATGACCTTTCTACCAACTATGAACTTCACAAAGTTAACAATGAGGGGTGGGGTAGGGGGCAGGGGGGAAGAAATAAATCAGTGTAAAGAAGAATTGGAACACTTGCTGGCAATGATTAAAACATACTAAAAATATGTCCTTTCGATAGACAGTGGTTATATATATTAAACTGCTGGTGGTCTAAGATGGGGTTTTGTGAAGGTTAAGGAAGGCCTCACCACCTATCAGTCCATCTGTCCTATAGTGGTGGCTTGAGTGTTGCGGCCACAGTGGAAGGTGTGATATATCATTTCACATCCCAAGAGGGTCACAAATGGTGGACAGGCTTCAGGGGAGCTTCCCGTCTATTTCTGAAAATCAGCCAGTGGAAATCTCAGAGGTCACAGAGAGTACCAGGGAAAGGCACTAAGATACACAGTGGCCCACCAATGGGCTCCAGTAGTGTAATTACTGTGAAGGGGACCAACACCAGAAAACATCCTGTCCTATTACATGTAAGGTTGACGTGAGTGGGAGTAGACTCAGAAGGAACTCACACCACAAGGAAGCCAGCTGTGGCCTCAGACAACACAAAAGAGAGTGACTGAGAGCTTCTGGTTTTGCTTTTTTCTTTAGCTTGACTGAAGCAATCTACCTACCTATGTTTAGAACCTAAAACATTTTTACATTAAAATAAGAATTACCTCTATAGGCTTCTGAATAGACTCCGATTCCTGTTCAAAACAACAATAACAACATTTAAATTTGTAGGAATCCTTCATATATTCAGAATTTCTTACATATGATTTCACAAATAAAAAAAGTTTACTTTTAAACTACAAAATTCCAACTTAACTGACTTAATTATGTTTTAAAAAGTCTTTACACTTTTCAGTTTTATGTACTGCTTTAATACCTTCATATTCCTGCTTCTTAATATTTATCATTAGCCATGGTATCTAATAATTTTCCATTACAAATATCACAAACCATCCTTATGAGTTCTATTTGAAAAATGGGGGCAAAAAAAAAATGAAGCTCCATAAATATTTTAACAGGGTAACAGAGAGAAAAAGCAGAGAACCAACCCCATCTGAGGTCTCCTTCTTCAGATTGCCCAGGCTGGTGGACTTTTGTAGACTTGATGGCCTAAAAATAACAATAATTGGGATTAATAATAAGTGACTCTGGTGCCACTGTTTCTAAGCAGAACATCTTGGAAAGAAGTGAAAATTTTGTGTGGGTTGAATCCTGGTAATAAAAGAAAATCTGGATTCAGACAGTCACTTATGTGCTTAACTAAATTATAACATTTAATTCTTTTAAAAGCGGGGTGGTTAACTGTCCTGCCAATCCCTCTAAATGCCCTGCACATGTTAGAATAGCTGGAAAAAATTTTAGGACTATCATGTGTGATGTCAATATTTGAAAACAGACTAGTGTTTAACATCAACCATCACTGCATCTTTACTATGGACACATTTATACAGAAACTTCTAAAATATTGATAGATTATTCATAGATCATCCTTCTAATTAAAATTTGAAAGTCTTACTTTTCAGTTCACAAAGGAATCAATTTTCCAAGTTTGACAAAGCAATTCACTGGATAATTCAGATCAAAGCACATTAGAAGAGGCCCTGTCCTCTCTAGAGTAATTCATTCATTATCTCAGCAAATGTAGTGTAAGACCGTAGATATGTGGTGGCTATCTCTCTCACATAATTAGCATTTAATTATGCAGAGCTTGTGTTACCTCAAAATTGAAGGCAGGACTGTGTTTAAAAATCAGAGAAAAATCTCAAAAAAGCCCCCAAACACTACCATCTTTATTCTATGAAATAATACAAATATGTTAACAAATATTAAAGGGCATTTCTCATGTATTTCTACATCTATGAGCTGCCAGAATTAGCTAGCCAGAAAAGCAAGTAAAAGAAAATGATGTGAAAAGAAAGATCTCATCTTCGAGTTCTGCTCTGAAAATGGATGAGTCTAATTTGATCCAGATTTTAACTTGGATAAACACAGATATTAGGTCAGTTTATTAAATTGAAAATGCAAAAAGTACGTTTCAATCTTTCCAGTCTTCGCATCACTCTCTGTAATGCTTTTCAATCTGCTAGATTCAAAATATAAGCCAGTTTAAAAATTAAAAGCACTGGCTTCTAATAAAAACTGAAGGAAGACTAAAGCTTGGTGTGAAATTACGATAAGTAAGCACACACACTGAACTGAAGATCCTACAAGGTGCACATAGCCAAACAGTTGGAAGTTCAAGCTGACCTAGAGGTGCCTTGGAGAAAAGACCTACAATCAACTTCTGAAAAAACAGCCATTAAAAACACTACAGAGCAGAGCTCTACTCTGACACACACAGGGCTGCCCTAAGTTGACTGGATGGCAATTGGTTTTCTTTTTAACTCTACAACATCTTCTTGCCTCCACCTAAGCATTACAGATTAATTCATTTACTTAGATTTCAAAGTCATTCACCATTAAAATAGGTTATTGTTAGCCTAATTGATACTTCTACTTTATGTGCCAATTGCATTTTTCACCTTCAATAAGAGATAACTTACAAAGAACTATCACAACGCTGAGTTTCAACAGTGACATCAAGCGTTATTTTTCCATCACTGAAACACAAAAAGGGAAAGAAATTCTATTACTTACACACACAAAAAGGTCCAGATGTAATCTAGGTGAAAAGAATTATTATGTACTAAAATCTTGAAAGTCCATCTATGTCACCTTTTATCTTTGGTAAGTTTTTTTTTTTAAATTTGGCCCAGTTCTAAGATTAGTGAGCTCTGGTGGCTTGTAAGTAAAATGTTGGGCTATTTACCAAAAGGTCAAGGGTTTAAATCCACTAGCCACTCTGTGGAAGATGAGGTAAACGGCTCCCACTGGATTTATAGTCAAAGAAACCCAATGGACAGTTCTGCTCTGTCCCGTGGTATTACAGTGAGAGGCAATCCATTTGATGCCAATGAGTTTACAGTTAATTTTAAGATTAGGCAATTTGGGAATACACTGACAAAATAATTGGTTTGCCTAATAAGTAAATTCCACTTCTCTGTCCTGTCTTCTCAGTAATCATTTCTACATGCCCATTCCTGCTCTGCTTGCAACTCATTGATGGATACTGAGAATTCAAAATTCAAGTCCCTTAAGATCGTTCTCTAAATGACCATTCCAAATCAGCGTCATCACCTAAGACTGAATACAGTCCGTTAGGTACATGCCTTGCTGTTTCCTGCTTGTCTGGGTAGAAACTGAAAGCTGGACCCTCATTTTTGGTTGATCTACTATTTTGAGAATTGATATCCCAAAGTTATGTAAAAAATCACATACTTCTCTTCAAAAGAAGTCTCAAGTTTAGGAGGCAATTTTGCTTTTTCAGAAGTTTCCAAGCCTTTAGATGCTGGCAGCAGTGAAGGGATTGAAACTTGCAAGATGTTCGTGTGATACTATAAGTAGGAAAAAAATTTTAAAAACCTATCAGTCAAACAAACAAACAATAACAAAAGTCATACAGCAAAGGAAAAAAAGACAATTAAAAAGACTTTTCATCAAAATCTTATACATATGCATTCGTAACTCATACCAATAAAGTAATTTTAGAACAGAAACATCTACAAAGAAAAAGTGTTAATTAAAGAAAACATTATAGAGGAAGGTAATTTTTAACTTGGCCCTAAATAAGATATTGAATATTGTGACTAAGGTAAAAAAATACCATTAAGTATAAAAAAAAAAAAAAAAAGCAGCAGAAGAAGAGTAAATAAAAATCTCATTTTTTTTTTACTATTAACTAGAACTCTGGAAGGGAGCTCTGGTGGTCTGGTGGTAAGGAGTTGCTCTGTCAATCCAAAGGGAGGTGGTTTGAATATGCTCAGTGGGAGAAGGACGGGCAACTTCCTCCTGTGTGATTTACAGTCTCTTGAAACCTGCTGGCGGGTCACCTATGAGTTGGTCATGACTCCACGGAACTAACAACTGAGCTCTAGCAGCGCAGTCCAGAGGGACTTTCATGGCAAAAGGTGGTGCCTCTCTGGTGGCTGGAATCCACCGATGGCTCCACGGGAAAAATCTTCTGTGTGATTTACAGCCTCCAGAGTTCTGCTCGTGAGTCAGCATCGAGTCTGTTTCGACACCACAGCAATGATTTAACTGCCAGTAAATCCTAGCAATTCAGCGTGATTTCAGTTACTGAGCAGTGAGCATATCCTCTGATGCCACAAAAGGCTATAATATATAGGTTACAATTTTACAAATTCAGAATTTTTAAATTCAAACCTTAATATCCCCTCCCTAGTTCTTAGGAAATGTGGCTGAACTACTTCAGTCATCATTGAATGATTTTCTAAACTAAACATCCATCATCAAATGACAATGTACAAAGCAGACAGACCGAGGCTACCTGGTTATATCACTCTCACGTCATTACATTGACTGTATATTGACGTAACACTAGTGCTTCTCTATATACAAGCACATTCATTAGCTGTCAACTAATATTTTCTTTCAAAGATATTTCTTACTAAAAAAATAATTTTCTTACTCTTTAATGAATTCCTTGAATGATACGTATCTCTGCACTTTCTTACAGACTCGAGAGAAAAAGTCTCTTTCTCCTTAAGTTTCATATTATATAATGAGAGAGCTGGTGGCCTAGTGGTAAGAAGCTGCACTATAATCCTGAAGGCATGCAGTTCAAGGCCACCAGTGATTAACGGTTGCCCCTGAAAACCCACCGAAGGGTCAGCTGTGAGTAGTCAGTTTGACTCAATCGTACACAACATTATGTAATAACCAGCAGCAGGTATAAAAAAGTAAGCATGCTGCTTGGCTTCTTCTAGATCATTATAGTAAAATATGGAAGATGATCAAAGAAGGAACTGTTAATCAGAAAGGAGTCAAAGTTGGTTCATTTAAAAGCAAAACAGTTTCCAATAGCTTGACTCTCCAGACAGCAAATTACATTAAAATGAAGAAATGTCTTCCGTCAGGAAAGCATGATCTTTAGATGAAGCCAAGGGCGTAGCTGGAAAGCCCTCCATGAAAACCTCAGGAAGATTTTAAGGTGGTGGTGTTTCACTGGTGGTGTTTCCAACCAACCATAGGACTCAAAATTTCAAGAGCGTATCCTGTAACAGCAGTTCTTAGAGAAAGTCCAAGTCTAACAAAGGATTATTTTAAAGGTATTTGTGAATATGCTTTTATTTAAGGCAGTGACCGATAAGTTCATTTGTAAGAATTCTCATAATTTTATAAATAATTATACCAAACTAGTTGAAAAGGATTGAGATGATATAAAATTAAAAGCAGCTTTTGTGAGGGAGCTCTCCCTTGTGGCCTAGTGGCAAGAAGCTGTGCTGCAATCCCAAAGGAGGAGCACAGTTTGATCCCATGAGATGTTCTGCATGAAGGGAGGAAATCTCCTCCTATGCCAGTCGGATCTGATTTGGCGGTCCACAACCAGGGGAAGAAAAAAATTGAAGGGAAAAAAAGTGGCTTTTGAGGCCTCAAACTTCTGAAAGAACAAAGCCGGCAAATAAAACTACCTGGCTGCAGATACAGGCTACTCTTTTATGGAAAATGAAGTAGCACGTGAAGAGAACAAATAAGAGTGTCAAGGACTGGACTCTACTAAAGAAATAACCTTACTAAATAATGCTGGGGGCTAGATTCCAGTGTTAATAAGGACTGTGACAGCTGTGTGTCTTCATTCTCCTGCTTTGAAATGAGAGGGTCTGTAGAAAACATTTTAAGTCCCCCTCATCACAACTGGGAATGATAGTTACATTTTATGTTGCTATTTTTTTTTTTTTACTTCAGAAGGAACAGTACTTAAGGAGTTATATCCAAGGAAATGTAACTGGGGAATTTCCCGACATCTTGACCTGCCCTGAAGACAAGATCATGGGACATTCGTCTAATAAGAGTGAGACACTGGGATTTAGGAGAGGGGATGAATATATTTCCTTATGAGAAAGAAATAGAATTTGTTGCAGTCGTAAGGTAGAGTAGAAGATTCTACCTTCTAAATACGGCTGCATCAATACATTCCATTCCATGACTTAATGTTGTCATAATCCATCAAAAACTAACTTGGTCCCACAAGGACAAATACTGTATAAAACCATTATTGTAGAATGAGCATAAGGATCCAAGAGGGGGTGGGGAAACAGAAGGATGAGGATGTGCAGGAGGAGGATTATTTATCATGGGTTGTACAAGTTGATGGGTGAGGGAAATTGGAAGACTCTGTTCTGGAAAACAATGTATTTGAATTTTGTAAATAAACTAGTATAATAATAATAAAAGAAATTCCAAAGGTGAACCCCTCCCTTTATCCAGGCTGTTTTAAAATTATAATAATCATTTACTCATCCACTCATTGCTGTCAAGTGGAACTGACATAGCCGACCCTCCATCGGGTTTGTGAGGGTATATATCACATGGGAGAATACTCTTTGCCTTTATTCTGAGAAGCAACTAGTAGATTAGAACCACTTAAGAGATCTGGCGTATGGACTAAGCCACCAGTGTGTCCCTTTTACTAACAATAAATAATTATGAATAAAAAAAAATCAAAACAAGGTCTAAAACACAATGTTCATGGTTAGCTGAACAGAAAAACGAAATTGCAGTGAACTCTGGTGGCCTAGTGGCAAGAAGCTGCACTGCAATCCCAGAGGTATGCAGTTCAAATCCACCAGATGCTCTGCTGGAGAAGGAGGGACAATCTCCTCCTGTACCAGTCAGATTCAATTTGACGATACACACTCAAAAAAGTAATAATTAAAAACATTAAAAAAAACTAATTTGCTTTGTAACTTTTCATTGAAAGCAGAATGGGAAAAAAGGAAAAGGGGGTGGGGGTAAGTCCTTAAATCTGATTCTATGAATACAGTAAAAGAGAAACTTCACGGCTTCTGAGAAAACTCCTAAAAATGATGCAATTTTGCCTGATCCTCTTGAGATGCCTGTGCTTAGGACCCAGACATCACACTGCGAAGAAGCCAAGCCGTCATGGAGCTGTTCCAGACAGGGCTTCAGCTGAGGTCCCAGCCAACAGCCAACATCAACCACCAGACATGAGTGAATAGTCTTCAGCTGACTCAAGTCCTCACCCTTCACACCACACCGGCTAATGCTGAGTGGGGCAGAGACATGTTCCTGCTGAGCTCTGCCCAAATTATAGATCTATCAGCAAAATAAATGCCACTCGAGCCACAGAGTCCTGGGGTAGTGTGCAATAGGTAACTGGAGCAGATTTTAGTGCCAAATTTGCAGGGAAAGTAAATCCAAAGAGCTGTTTCTCTCTCTAGTTGCTTTTCCCCAGTCTAAAGAAAAATCAGTCACTAACAGAATGATTAGACCAATTTATGCACAGTTACATAAACTGTAACCTCATATTCAAGATGGCCATCTCTATCTTCCAGAAATTAAAATATTTTTCTTTAATTACGTTTGCAATTTGGACATTGCCAGAGGCATTTATTAAAGAGAAAATGAGGGAAAGAAGCCCACACATTTCAAATAAAGACCTGCTGGGCAAATAAATTGCCAGAATAAGCCAAAATAGATCAATAATTGAATGTTAATTATTTTCATGTTAATAATAGTTGTTTAACTTTGAATGGTAGCGTTCCTCCAATATGAAGAAAATACTGAAAGTCGATAGCTACCTCCTCTGGAATACTCGTGTTAAATGGGTCGTGGCTTGGAGAGCCTAGGGCCGGAATAGGTGATGGACTTTTCTCTAGATCCCCGAAGCCCTGGGCATCCAACAAAGCAGAGATGGAACCAGAATTGGGCAGGTCTTCATAGTCACCATCTTTGCCTAGAAAAAGACAAAGCAAAAGAGGGCAACATTATCTTTTCATATTAAAAATATGAGTCAACTTTTCACAGCACAGCTTGGAAAAAAAATGCACACGTAGGGCTGAGGAGACAACATTTTAATCTATGAGCACCAGAACGCAGGGAGCATGGGGCCATGGCAGGGGTACTGACAGAGGAAGTCACATGATAAAATACTAAATGATTCAAAACCAATTAGAAATTCATTTAACATGACAATCTTCCTATCATTGTACTTAGAAAGTGGGGGCTTTATACATTTAAATTTATAAATAACCAAGAGTGAATTTAGAAATAATCAACTGAAGAGTATCTGTGAGGTAACAAACGAATATGGAATAACAACGCTTTGTTATGTTACGTTGTTATGTGCTACTGAGTCAAGTATAACTCATAGAGACCATATGAACAACAGATCTGAATTCTGTCCTATCTTGTGCCATCTTCATCATCTCTGAAATAATTGAGCCCACTGCTGTAGTCCCTGTGTATATCTACCTTTTTGAGTGTCTGCCTCTCTTTTCCTGACCCTCCACTTTTCTGAGCATGATGTCACTATCTAAGGAATAGTGCTTCCTAAGAGTAAGTCCAAAGTATGCAAGACAAAGCTTTTCCATTTTGGCCTCTTAAGGAGTACTTCGGCTGCACCTTTTCTAAGAGATAGTTATTTGTTCTTTTGGCAGTCCACAGGATAGTGAATACTCTTTCTAAAACCACAACTCAAAAGCATCAATTTCTTCTTCTGTCACTCATATTCACTGTCCAGCTCTCAGCCACATAGTAAGTTTTATGAAGACTATGACTTTGAAGGCACGTTAGCCTTCAAACAGTATTACTCCTCAGTATTGGCTATCCACTTCTGAAATGACAGGCCTTCAAAAACCCTGTGTACAATAGAGCACACTTAAGACTGTCATTTGGACTAACAGACATGGTAATTGAAACTGAGATCTTAGAAATAGAAACACAGAGAAAGAGCAACAGCTGTAAGGAGACATTAGTGATTGGAACGTGGAATGTAAGAAGCATGAATGTAGGAAAATTGGACATTGTTAAGAAGAAATGGAACGCATAAATATTGACATACTAGGTATTGGCAAAATGATCATATGATTTACTATGCTGGGGATGAAAAGGTGAGAAAAAAATGGGGTTGGTTTCATAATTAAAAAAGCAATTGTCAGATCTATCCTGAAATACAGTGTGGTGAGCGACAGGATAATATCCATAAGCATACAAGGAAGTCCAGTGAATACCACTATCATTCTAGAGCCAAAGAGTAGGAAATAGATTTCTACCAACTTCTGCAGTCAGAAATTGACCAAACAGGCAATCAAGAAGCATTGATAATAACAGGTGACTAGAACGCCAAGGTTGGGAACAGGGAAGAAGGATCAGTAGCTGGAAAACATGGGCTCGGTGAGAGAAATAAGGCTGGAGATTGAATGATAGAGTTCTGCACATTTAATAATTTATTCATTGCAAACACCTTTTACAAGAAACATAAACAGAGGCTATACACATGGATCTCACTTGATAGCATGCACAGGAATCAAATCGATTACATTTGTGGAAAGACTCAGTGGAGAAGCTCAATATCAGCAGTGAAAACCAGACCGGGTGCTGATTACGGGACAGACCACCAACTACTCATATGCAAGTTTAAGGTGAAGTTGAGGAAAGTTAAATTAAGCCCACGAAAACCAAGATTTGACCTTAAGTCTGTCCCACTCGAATTTCAAAACCATCTCAGGAACAGGTTTGAGGCCTTGAGAATCAATGAGTGTAGGCCAAATGAGCTCTGGGAGGATATCAAGAAAATCATCCACGAAGAATGCAAAAGATCATTACAATGGCTGAAGAAGAAGACCAGACCAAGATGAATGTCAGATGAGACTCTAAGTATTGCATTAGAGCGGTGAGTAGCCAAAGCTAAAGGAAGAAATCAAAGAGCGGAACAGAAAATTTCAAAAGGCAGCTAGGGATGACAAAGCAAGACACTATAATTAAATGTGCAGAGAGCTGGAGTAAAAAAATCAAAAGTGCTGAACTCCCTCGGCGTTTCTTAAGCTGAAGGAGTTGAAAACCAAATTCAAGCCACAGGTGGCAATACTTAAGGATACTTTGGGTAGAATGTTAAATGATCCAGGAAGTATCAAAATAAGATGGAAGGAGTACACAGAGTCACTGTATCAGAAGGAATTGGCTGACACAGAGGAATTTCATGAAATAACATATGAGCAAGAGCCTATGGTGATGAAGGAGGAAGTTCAAGTTGCTCTGAAGGAATTGGCTAAAAACAAGGCTTCAGGAGTTGATAGCATACCAACTGACTTATTTCAACAAACAGACACTGGCCTGGATGTGCTCACTAAGTTGTGCCAGCAAATCTGGTGGATAGCCAGCTGGCCAACTGACTGGAAGAGATCAATATTTGTTCCCATTCCAAAGAAAGGTGACCCAACAGATTGTGGAAACTATAGAACAATATCACTGATATCACACACAAGCAAGATTCTGCTGAAAATTATCCAAAAATGTTTGGAACAGTAAGTCAGAGTACTGCCAGATGTGCAGGCTGGATTTAGAAGAGGTCATGGTACTAGGGATATTATAGCTAATGCCAGATGGATCTTAGCAGAAAGCTGAGAATACCAGAAGAATGTCTATCTGTGCTTCATTGACTATGCAAAGGCTTTTAACTGTGTAGATCACAACAAGCTATGGCTGACTCTGAGAAGAATGGGAATCCCAGAACATTCGATTGTGCTAATGCAAAACCTATACTTGGACCAAGAGACAGACGTCAGAACAGAGCAAGGAGACACTATATGATTCAAAATCAGGAAAGGGGTCCATCAGGGATGTAGTTTGTCTCCATACCTTTTCAATCTGTATGTAGAACAGATCATCCGAGATGCTGGGCTGTATAAGGAGGAATGTGGCATCAGGATTGGTGAAAGAATCATCAACAACCTGCGTTATGCAGATGACACAACCCTGCTTGCTGAAACTGAGGAGGACCTGAAGCACTTTGCTGCAGGTCAAGGACTGCAGCCTTCAATATGGATTGAAGCTCAACATCAAGAAAACAAAGATTCTCACCACTGGGCCAATTGGCAGCATCAGTACGGATGGTGAAGAGATTGAGAGAGTTAACAAGTTTTAGTTTACTTGGCTCCACAGTCAACACTCTTGGTAACAGCAGCCAGGAAATCAGGAGATGAATTGCATTGGGAAGGTCGGCTGAGAGAGACCTCTTAAGAGTGCTGAAGAGCAACGATGTCAGGCTGGATACTAAGGTGCACCTGATCCAGGCTATGGTCTTTGCAATTATGTGCTATGCATCGGAGAGTTGGACAGTGACTAGGGATGACAGAAAGAGAACTGATGCCTTTGAGCTGTGATGCTGAAGAAGGGTATTGAATATACCATGGACTGCTATGAGAACAACAGGTTTGTCCTGGAGAGGGTGAAGCCAGAATGCTCCTTGGAGTCAAGGATTCTGAAGCTTCATCTGACATATTTTGGGCATGTTGCAAGGAGGGACTGGTCTTTGGAGAGGGACATCATGTTTGGGAGAGTGGAGGGACAGCGCCGGAGAGGAAGACCCTCAATGAGATGGATCGATTTTGTGAGTGGAGTGGTGCAAATGAATGTGTTTGAGACAGCGAGGTTGGCACAGGGTAGAACGGCATTTAGGGCTCTTGTATATAGGGTTGCTATGAGTCGCAAGCGACTTGACGGCACTTAACAACAAACAACAACAACAACTTTAGAGAGGTCCTTAATAGTAGACATTCCCAAAGCAATATTTCTTTTGATTTCTTGACTTTTGTTGCAAAGGGTATTGACTGTGGATCCAAATAAGATGAAATTGTTGACAATTTCAACCTTTCCCCCATCTATCCTGATGCTGCCTATCAGCATGGTGGTGGGGATTTTTGTCTTCTTGATGTTGGGACATGATTCATACTGAAGGTTATAGTCTTTGATCTTCTGCAGCAAGCATTTTAAGTTTTCTTTACTTTCAGCAAGCAAAATTGTGTCTCTGCATAATGCAGGTTGTTGACGAGTCTTCTCCTGTTCTTGATGCCAACTTTTTCTTCAGAGTCCAGCTTCTCGAATGAGGTGCTCAATTTACAGATTGAACAGGTATGGAGAAAGGCTACAGCCTTGATGCACACCTCTCTAAATTTAAAACCATGCAAAGTTCCTTTGCTTTGTTCAGACAACAGCTTCTTGGTCTGGCTAAAGGTTTCATATGAGCATCATTAGATGTTCTGTTGTTCACATTCTTCTCAATGTTAACTGTAGTTTATTATACCCCAGTCAAATGCCTAATAAAAGTCACAATTTAAACAATTCCATTTTCATCACTGCTAAGCTGTTAAAAAGATACAAAAAGTGGAAAAAGGGCAGACTACCTTTTTGCTCTTCAAGGGAATCCCTTTAGGTCATTTTAAAGCAGAAAGAAGAGCCCAACAGAGAAAAGGAACCAAATAGACAGCAAATCAGCAACTTTGAGAGCTTTGTTATATTCCCACTAAAGAAAAAGATTAAAGGGTAACAATACAGTGCCAGGTATTCTTTTTTTTAAAAAAAAAAACAAAGCAGGAAAAAAAGGTGCTTGAAACTCCTGGATAATACTAAAAATGGCTGATCACATAATTGTTGAAAAATCTTACCAGGAGGGCAAAGCTACTTAAATCAGGTTTTATGATAAATTTATTAGAACTTGTTATTAGGTGCAGTCTAGTCAAGTATGACTCATAGTGACCCTATGAACATATCTGAACCCTGTCCTATCCTGTGCCATCTTCACATTTCCTGACACACTAGAGCCCATTGTGGCAGTCACCGTGTCAGTTTACCTGGTCAGGGCTCTACCTCTTCTTCACCAATCCTCCACTTTTTCCAAGCATCATATCCCTCTCCAAGGAACAGCCCCTCCTAGCAACATGCCCAAAGTATGTGAGGTGAAGCCTCATCATGCTTGCCTCTCCAAGCTGCAACCTCTGCAAGACACATTTGTGTGTTCTTTTGTCTGTCCATAGATTGTTTAGTGATCTTCTCTAAAACCATAGCTCAAAGGCATCAATTCTTCTTCGGTCATTTTTATTCATTGTCCAGCTCTCAGATGCATAGCAAGTGACAGGAAAGATCATGGTGTGAATCTGACACACCTTAGTCCTCAAACTGACATCATAACTCAATAATCTGGAGAGGCTCCTAACTGCAGATTTTCCCAGTGCAATGCATCTCCTTATTTCCCGACTGCTGGGACAAAGGGTGTTGATTGTGGATCCAAGTTAAGATGAAGTTGTTGACAGTCTCAATCTCTTCTCTATCCACCATGAACTTAGGGTTTATAAAATAGTATAATGATTAATTAGAAATCTTAGTGAAAACAAAAATCACTCTTCTTGGAATAGGACATACTTTTCTATGAATACCACTTTAAACCTACAGGTTCAAACAATCAGGAAAATGACTGAAGAGAAAGTCATAAAAATGCCAGCAGCAATCAGTCAATACAATTTTCAGCCATTTTTTACCCTTTTCTATTTCATGAATGTTTCTGAGTTATGAGTAATAAGAATTGGTACAATTTACTCAAATAACCATGAGTTCACTTGCTCATTAGTACTAAGAGTGCAAACGGTCATTGCAAAGACAGAAGAGGAAGTGAAGACCAAAATGGTATCAGAAGGGACTCTGAAAATTGCACTGGAGCACAGAGAAGCCAAAGCACAGGGAAGAATTCAAGATACTAAAGAGTTGAATAGAAGATTTCAAAAGGCAGCACGGGATGACAAAGCAAAATATTACAATGAAATGTGCAAGGAGTTGGAGTCAGAAAATCAAAAGGGCCGAACTCGCTCAGCATATCTTAAGCTCAAGGAACTGAAGAACAAATTCAAACCTCGAGTTGCTATGATCAAGGATGCTTTCAGCAGAATGTTAAATGATCCAGGATTTATTAAAAGAAGATGGAAAGATAAGATTATAAGATATTTACAGTCTCAAAATATGGCAAGCTCTATGAATGAGAAGAAAATGAAGTACCAATTTTGGGGTGGGGTTTTTTTTTTTAATTAAATTCCACCAACTGATTTTTTGACAAGAAGATGAAATCAGTTAAGTGGGGAAATGACAGCCTTTTTAACAAATGGTGCTGGCAAAACTGGAAAACTATCTGCAGAACTCAAGCAAGATCCATACCTCACTCCATATAAAAAAACCAACTGAAAGTGGACATAGGACTAAAATCAAGGACTAGAAACTTCATTTGGAAAAAAGCTTGGAAGAAATCTTGAAGTCCTAATCCATAACATAAACAGTCTTCCAAGCATCCTGGAAAAACTACAACCAGGAGACGATAATATAGATGAATAGGACCTTCTAAGAATCAAATCACTATGTACATCCAAAAACTTCTCCAACAGGGTGAAAAGGGAAGCCACAGATTAGGGAAAAATATTTGGTAATGACATGTCAGACAAGGGATTTATAGCTAGAACTTATAAAACACTCGAGAACCACAACAAGATAAAGGTAAATAACACAGTTGAGAAATGGGCATAGGATATGAACAGACACTTCACCAAAGAAGGCATTCAGATGATGAACAAGCACATGAAGAAATGTTCAAAAGCCCTAGCTCTAAGAGAGATCAAAATCAAAACAACTATGAGATATCATCTCATCCCAGTAAGAAGAGCAAAATTTAACAGAACAACAGGCAACAAATGCTGGTGAGGTTGTGGAGAAACTGGAACCCTTATTTCACTGTGAGTGGGAGTATAAAATGGTGCAACCACTATGGAAGGCTGTATGGCGCTTTCTCAAAAAGTTGCAAATAAAGATACCATTTGACCCAGCAATTCCACTACTGGGAATATACCCTAAAGAAACCATAACCATCACCCAAGCAGATATATGCACACCCATGTTTATTGTGGCTTTGTTCACAACCCAAGTGCCCATCAACAAGCGAATGGATAGAGAAACTCTGGTATATTCCCACAATGGAATACTATGCTGCACTGAAAAATCAGGAACTAATGAAATATTATACAAAATGAGTGACCCTGGAAGACATGATGCTGAGTGAAATATCTCAGTCACAAAAGGACAAATATTGCATAGGGACACTTGTAAAACAGGACTGACATCAGGGTTGAGGGAAGACGGAGAAAGAGGGAATAAATAATGTATACTGCATTGAAACAGATGAGGGAGAGAACTGTTTAAAAAGGGATATACAATTAGATATTATTGTCATGACAGGAGTCCAGAATGAAGGCTGCAGTGGACTTGAGGGGAGGAACTATATAACAATGAAAGAATTTTTCTTTTTCTTTTCAAAGAGAAGAGCGAATTGGGGGGGTGGGCAGGGAGAAAAATGCAATAATGAATGACTGGAAACCCTAAGTCTCTGTAAACTTTCATTAAAATTTAAAAAAAAAAAATTAAAAAATATCCCTAGTCTTGACACTGGTCTTGCTTTTTTGTGAATTTATCAAATGAAAATGACAAAATATCAGTGATTCATAAATACCTACCAAAATAGTTGTTTCTTTCCAGTAATTACCCTTTGTTATGAATTACACTGTATCCTCCCAAAATACATGCTGTCAATTCTAACCCCCTAAACACGTGGCTAAGAAGACCAGTAAGATAGTGGTAACGTACTGGGCTAACAACTGGAAAGGTCAACAGGTTGAACTCACCATCCACTTTTCAGAGAGAAATGAGCAATCTCCTCCCATTAAGATTAACAGCCTCAGAAACTCAACCTTGGGCCACTATGAGTTGGAGCCAACTTGGTGGCAGGCGGCTTGGCTTGGTTGAGGTATACTTATGGCTTTAAACTGGGTGGCTCCTTGGAGGCAAGGATTCTGAGGCTCCGTCTAACATACTTTGGACATGCTGTGAGGAGAGACCGGTCCTTAGAGAGGGACATCATGCTTGGGAGGGTGGAGGGACAGCGCAGGAGAGGAAGGCCCTCTGTGAGGTGGATTGATTCAGTG